CAAACTTGTTTAACGGTTGTATCGTTGAAACTAGTTTCGTAGAATGCATATCCCATCAAAACAACAAATTCACTAACGCTTAAGAGTTTATTTATACTTTCATTAAGTATAACATAAGTTTTTGTGGTATCCACTAGTGTAAATGTTTTAAATTAAAGATCAAGTTCATTCATTGTATTTGTATAGGGTCAAGGAGTGTAGCTGTAAAAAAATCATCAAAATCGGAGTTAAAATAACTGTTAAATCATGATTTTTCGTTGATAACCCTCGAAAAGTTTTGTCCTGTTACTTGATCTCTAAATGTTTATTTTTTGCAATTTTTAGTGTATGCGATCTTGAAGCATACACAAACATGTTTGACGGTTGGATCGTTGAAATTAGTTTCGTAGAATGTGTATCCCATCAAAACGATAGATTCACTAACACTTGAAGTTTATTTATACTTTCATTAAATATAACATAGGATTTTGTGGTATCCACTATTGTCAATATTTTAAATTGAATATCGAATTCATTCATTGTATTGTGTAGGGTCAAGGAGTGGAACTGTAAAAAATCATCAAAATCAGAGTTAAAATAACTGTTAAATTGTGATTTTTCGTTTATAACCATTGAAAAGCTTTGTCTCGTTATTTGATCTCTGAATGTTTATTTTTAGCAATTTTTGGCGTATGCTATCTCATAGTATATACAAAGATGTTTGACAGTTGGATCGTTGAAACTAGTTTCTTAAAATGCGTATCCCATCAAAACAATAGATTCACTAACACTTGGAGTTTATTGATACTTTCATTAAGTATAACATAAGATTTTGTGGTATCCATTAGTGTAAATATTTTAAATTGAAAATCGAGTTCATTCATTGTATTCATATAGGATCAAGGAGTGCAGCTGTAAAAAATCATCAAAATTGGAGTTAAAATAAGCATTAAATTGTGATTTTTCGTTGATAATCATCGAAAAGTTTTGTCCCGTTACTTGATCTCTGAATGTTTGTTTTTTGCAATTTTTGACGTATGCGATCTCGAAGTATATACAAACATGTTTGATGGTTGGATCATTGAAACTAGTTTTGTAGAATGCGTATCCCTTCAAAACAATAGATTCACTGACACTTAAAATTTTATTCATACTTTCATTAAGTATAACATAAGATTTTATGGTATCCACTAGTGTAAATATTATAAATTGAAGATTAAGTTGTTTCATTATATTCGTATAGGATCAAGGAGTGTAGCTATAAAAAATCATCAAAATCGGAGTTAAAATAACAGTTAAATCATGATTTTTTGTTGATAATCATCGAAAAGTTTTATCCTGTTACTTGGTCTCTGAATATTTATTTTTTGCAATTTTGAGCGTATGCGATCTTGAAGCATACAGAAACAAGTTTGACGGTTGAATCATTGAAATTAGTTTCGTAGAATGCATATTCCATCGAAACGATAGCTTCACTAACATTTAGAGTTTATTTATACTTTCATTAAATATAACATAATATTTTGTGGTATCCACTAGTGTCAATATTTTAAATTGAAGATCGAATTCATTCATTGTATTCATATAGGGTCAAGGAGTGTAACTATAAAAAATCATCAAAATCGGAGTTAAAATAATCGTTAAATTGTGATTTTTTGTTTATAACCGTCAAAAAGTTTGTCCCCTTACTTGATCTCTAAATGTTTATTTTTTGCAATTTTTGGCATATGCGATCTCAATGTGTATACAAACATGTTTGACGGTTGGATCGTTGAAATTAGTTTCATAGAATGCGTATCCCATCAAAACAATAGATTAACTAATACTTAAGAGTTTATTCAAACTTTCATTAAGTATAACATAAGATTTTGTGGTATCTACTAGTGTAAATATTTTAAATTGAAGATCAAGTTCATTCATTGTATTCATATTGGGTCAAGGAGTGTAGCTGTAAAAAATCATCAAAATCGGAGTTAAAATAACCGTTAAATGGTGATTTTTTGTTGATAATCATCGAAAAGTTTTTTCCCATTACTTGATCTTTGAATGTTTGTTTTTTGCAATTTTTTGCTAATGCGATATCGAAGCATATACAAACAAGTTTGACGGTTGAATCGTTGAAATTAGTTTCTTAGAATTCGTATATCATCATGTTCAATGGTGTATATATATATATATATATATATGTCTTAAGTAGATTTAAATTTATTTATTTTTTACATATAACACTTAAGAAATTGAATGGTATGTATATTTAAGCCGATCCAATGGTCCAATTTTTAATATTTAATTTAATATATATATATATATATATAGTTATTATAGTTTTTGGGGTCTAAAATTGTTAAATTAATATATATAATTTTTATTGTATTTTTTTAGGGTTATAAAATTATAAAATTAATATTTTGTTTATCTTGTATCGTGTTACCCACGTGTATACTCAAACCAACCCGTTATCTTAACAGATGCTTATCAAGTTACCTGATAACAACCCGATTCATTCTCGTGTCGTCCCAAACACCTGTTAATTTCGTGTCGTGTCGTGTCGGGTTATCGGGTCGTGTCAGGAATTGTTAGGCCTAGCCTCAGTGATGACTTGCGGGTCCATGCTACTTTTCTGTTTTTCCAAATCATCTATGCCGCAACTGCAATGCATGTGGTTTACCTTTGACTGATGAGCAAGCTGCTCGGGGTGGCGCTTAGTGTGTGATGCTAGTTGAATTCGAGCCGGACTGCATTTGTGTTTCCATCTGTCCTTCGTGCTACTTACTCCAATGCATGGTAGGAAGAACTCCTTGCAGGACAAGCCAGGAGTGGACGTTTAGCTTGGAATGTCCAGAATGCTCGTCGAAATATGGTCCTAACCGTGAATATACACTGGCTTATAGCTCGAGTCAAGAGTGAACGCTCATCTTCACGCTAAGGAGAGAGAAAACGTTTTCCCGAGGACCAAGATGAGAGTGCACACTACCCGAAAACTCGGTTCATGGTTGGTTAAGTGGTTGCTTGCTGAGACGTCACTAATCACGATCATCTGCCCTTATCTAGCTTCAAGATACCTCGTTTGAGGCGTGTTACGCCTCAATGTTCACCAAAAGCTGATTCACCAAGATCGTGTGTTAGGCGAGGGGACTCATCAAATCTGCGACTTGTCGAGATAGGTGTTGGTCACCATTTAGGGTGGAAGAGCTTGGATGATGGGCGTCTCCGTAAGTGGTGGAAGTGTAGTGAGCTACAGATGCAAAATCTAGGCTCGGATGTGGCACACTTGTGGAAAATAAGGTGAAAACACCCATAGTTCAGTCGTCGATACAAAAATCAGTTTGGTCGGTCAGCCTGAGCTAGAGACGATTTGGTGACATGGAGCCGAGTCTACTAAATTGATTTAGAAATTGGTTTAGGACCTAAGATTTAGTCGACCGCAGGCTGAAATGTGTAGCCAGGTCAACTCGCTTGTCCTTGGGCTCTTGCTGTGTACATTGGGTTGGCATGACTTTGGGCCTAGAAGGCTTGGACTTGTTGGGCTATAGGCCTGCTGACACATAAGTTGTTTGGGCTTGGGGTTTTTGGGCTGGAACAACAGCGTAGGCTATTAGTGTCTGGGCCTCAGCTTAGGTTACTAGTGCATTAGTCATTGCCATTGGCTACTAGGCAGCGGCCATAGTAGTGGTGGTGCTCCATGGGGCAGGGCTCCTTTTGCCATCGCGTTAAGCCTTGAAGAACATCGGCACATGCCACATCTTCATCTCTATCCTCTGGTTCGCATCTTTCGAAGTAGGGTATTATGTTCGTTGTAGTTATAGGAAACATTCAATGAGACTACGTGTGAAAAATCAAATGTAATAGAAAATCCGAAAGCAAATTCAAGAGCCTTCTTCGAGTGTGCTAAATCAGGGTCTCAATAAAAACACCAATATGTGGTAGAAAAAATTCGTCGTCTTCAGTCTTGATGAATTTGTACCTATAAAACAATAAACACCTTTGACTAAGGGCCAAAGCCACATGCACCCACGAGGTTGGGAGGGGGGTTGGCTAATGGATCTCCAAAGCCTAATTCAGTATCTCTGAAAAGAGTGAGTGTTTAGGGCTTGTATGCGTAGCAAAATGCTTATCAGAAAATGGTGTAGATGGAGTATTTATAGGGAGGTGGCCGACCATAGTAGGTTTTTACCCTACATGTGGTGGCTTCCCATTGACTAAGGTCTGTCATCCGTAGGATGGATGAGGAGAAAATTATCCCGAAGTATAATTAGGAGATAATATCTTAGAATTATCAAATAATTATCCTAGATTGATTATGATGAGGATTATTTACTTGTTTGAGTTGATCTTCAATTATGAATATATTAAAGATGAAATTTGGTAATTAATTCTATTTTTAATGCTTTTGACTTTCTAAACCATGAGCAAGGAAGCTTGGAGATGTTGTAGTTAACTACTCAAGCCTCTAGGAATATTGAATTGCGCTTGGGAATACTTGTGGGTTTGCCCATTTAATGAGGGTGACTTCTTCGGAAAAAAGTTTATGTGTCTTCTGAATTTTTTGGATTATTTTTTACTCCACAACTACATCAAATAACTTTGTAAATATGCCAATCATATATGACCAATATTGACATCGTTCTAGTTGTGCGAGTCACTTTGAACCCGCTCGTATTGTGTATTTATTTTTATGATTCAGCCGTGTACTTTTAACGAGACGGCACCTAGAGACCCCTCATAAAGCAAAACTCACTCATTGGAAATGTTCTCTTAATTATATTCACTGAAGTCACTTAGTACTACGGTTTAATGATATTTATTTTCACTTGTAAGTGAGAGGTCTTAGATTTGGTTCTCGTCAAAACGAATTTGAACCATATTATTGCTAATTCATTGTGAGACTAAGCTCATCTGTTCTCTTTAATGTAGATAATACCTTTTGTTCAAAAAAAAAAAAAAAAAAAAAAAAAAAAAAACTCTGTTCACTGAATAAAAAGGCAAGATGGGGTCTTATCCAAATTTACGGCCAAGATGTTCCTTAATCAGGTCCCATCGTATCCACTCTTCTTTCCCTCTCATGAAAAGAGTCGTTAGCAGTTATTCAGCTCTCAAACCTCCAGACCAAGAACAGATAAGAGTTACAAAAATCAAATTAAGATAAATAAAAATGGCGGTTTCTACTCTAATCCTTACAACTCCAAAGCCCCTAGCCCAAATTCAACCCCCTAATCCTCCTCCTGCAACCTCACTCTCCTCCTCCAAACCCACTTCCACTTGTTCTTGGTCATCTTCTTCATTCTCAGCAACTGCAAACAATGCAAACAAATCTTCCTGGAAATTTTCAAATATTTTGAGCAAGAAGTCCGTAATGGATGTGGGTATGGGGCTGTTAGCATCTTCAATTATGGCATTGTCTCCTTTGGAAGCTGACGCCACGAGAATTGAGTACTACGCCACCGTGGGGGAGCCTCTCTGTGACTTGAACTTTGTTCGTTCTGGGCTTGGTTTCTGTGATGTTTCAGTTGGCCCCGGCGTCGAAGCTCCTCGCGGTGAGCTCATCAATGTGAGTTCCCAGTTTCTGCTTTCTTCAGCGCTATGTCATGTCTTTTATTTCAACAAAAGAGAAAGCATACAAAATTTTTGGTTTTTTTATTGTTGTATACTTTCGAATTACAAGTTTTGCTTCTTGTTAATGGGTGTCAAATACAATATGATTACGAATTGCACCCAAGTTCGAATCCCCTTTTCCTCACTGCTTAGGATAATGTAGAATATCGTCTTGTGAAGCACATACATATATATATATATGTATTTAAAACATTGGGAAAGATAGAAGTGAAGTTGGTTTTATGGCTTACCAAATTAATGGTCTAGTGTGAATCGACCCAAAACAGATAGGTACGCTCTGTTTGGTACAGAATTTACTTCCAAGCATTAGGTTATACTCGCATTTCTTCCCACTTGTGAAGAAGTTGAAACGAAACTTATTCTCCCCAGCCAAATTTGTAATGAACTTATTCTCACCTGCCAGGGAGAAATTCTCTCCATATTACTTGGCAGACACAGGTATTCCAACTCACTTGCACCAAAATACCAAAAATACAAGCAGCATCAGTTTTGGTCTATTCAACTAGTTTTGTGATACCGTTTTCTTGGTCTGTCAATTAAATGATTGATTCCAAAAACTCAAAATTTTTAAGAGAGAAATTTGACGATTGTAATAAGGCTCAACGTCAAATGCTCGCCAACATTCTCCCTTGTGTGTAGGTCACTAGGTCTGCAAGAACTAAACAGAACTTGGCAGCACACATTTAGGCAATGGATGACCAAAATTGGCATACCAAGATTTCGATGATTGAATGAATTGATAAACAACCTTATCTTGGTACCGAGTCATGTCTCCTTTTTCTAAAAGTGAAGTTATTACGAGATATGTCTATCAAACACAACTTAATAATACAATAGTCTGTTTTAACGAACACAGATTCACTACACCGCAAGATTCGCTGATGGGACAGTCTTTGACAGTAGCTACAAACGAGGCAGACCTCTAACTTTGCGTATTGGTGGGCAAGGTATGAAAATTCTATAGTATCAATTAGATGAGAACATTATCTCTTTGATTTCCTATATGATGAATTGAAGCTTTTAAATCAAGAATCATACTGCGTAATGAGCATAAAAGCCACAAGAATTAGTGAAAATTCTGTCCGGATAGTCATCTTACACTTACATTTCTGCATGTGCTTTCTATGAATTGCCGATTCTCTGTTCTGAGGCTGTTCCTCTTTTACGTACTTAGATGCATTTTAATCATTCTCTGAAGTCCTAATTAAAGGTGTATTCGATTTTTTCTTTGTTATCATTCTCCCATTGTTGGAATAAACTAATTATTAAGGTTTGCAATGTTTCCGGCCACAATCAACATCAGAAATAAAGAATGTTTCCGGCCACAATCAAACTCATCATGAATGATATTATCAATAGCTGATAAAGGTTTCCTGATGCCTCCATCAATATTGTAGCCTCGTCGAATAAAACTCGGCATGACCTTTTCTAATATCAAAGTAAAAACACTAATTGGCTAGCTTGGATGTTCACTCAATTTCTCCAATTTTAAAGCAGCATCAGAAACAAACTAAACATTTTCTTTTCAGATATCTCTAAATCAAGGTTCTAAAAGATGCTAGGCGCTAGTCGGGCGACAGGCTGGTGCCTATCCCCTAGGCGGCTAGGCGAGGCCTAGGCGGACTAGACGGATTCAAGAAATTTATGATATACTGTATAAATAAGTGTCTTTTTATGCTTAAAAAATAACACACATAATTATATTGGGATACCTAAATTGCAGAATAAAATGACGCATAAATTATTAAGTATTAGAACATCTTGAAAACATGAGAAATAAACATATACTGAGTGTTTTCCAATTTCCACATGGATGTGTTGCAACGGGTTTCAAAATACTTCAGAATTTTATCACATTCTTCACCTCTTGTATTAATCAGCATTGCACTTTACTATGGCAATATCCATATATTGTATGTATTATTCATAAGTTTTTCAAGCTCGTCATGGTGGGGTTGAATAAATAGGAGAGGAAGAGTCTTGCTTAGCTTCTTGTTTGAGGTTTTCATCCTAAATTATTAGCAATAATACTAAATGGAGAATTAACCCCTAATTCCAAGTCCAGAGATTAAGAATTAAACAAAATAAACTAATTCTAAGCTTCTCCTGTTAAATAAAAACAATTTTCGTGTTGCATTTGTCAAAATCAAAGCAACCAAGGGCTCTAAGAAACCAGAGTAGAATAAAGAAACTAAACGAAGTACATCAAATTGTGGACCTGAGAAATGCTTAGTTTTCCTTTTCTTTTGATTCTCTCGGTGTAGTCTCCGCCTCCATACCTTCATTTATTCATGCCCATTTACCTTTATCTTATATTCTGGTGTCCAGGTTATTAGGGGACTGGATCAAGGTATTTTAGGGGGTGAGGGTGTGCCTCCAATGCAAATAGGTAAGACGATAAAGTTGGTTATGTTTCTAAATGTTTCTTGCCATTTGTGAAAAAAAAAAAAAAAAAAAAAAAAGAAATCAAATCGTAACCCATCAAATATCACACAGGGGGAAAGCGGAAGCTTAAAATTCCTTCACATTTAGCATATGGGCCAGAACCTGCAGGATGCTTCTCAGGTGAGTTTCCTTTATATTTGAAACTATCTTGATTCTTTAGTCTTCCATGATTATGGTTTACGACTGTTGTCGTCAACCAAAATCATCATCAGAAACTTGAAACTTTCTATGATCTTACAAAAGACATCATTGAATCACTATCATCCTCACTATCTGTGTACGTGTGGAAATACTTGGTATATGCGATCAGTTAACTTTGCAGGACAAAACTCTTGTCGATATCTGCTACCGTAATTTCTTAGAAAAGTAAAAACTGGATGTCAAGTACAGTTACTTATATCGATGGTATAATGATGATGTATGCTACAGTTTCTCAAAATCTGAGGCTTGCTAATTTATTCCTAGACCTTAAGGTGAAAAACTAAAATATTTTAAACATACAGTCAGTCGTTTTGAGTCTTGGAAACTATCAGAAACTAACATATATGCATCTTTTATAGGTGACTGCAATATACCTGGAAATGCTACTCTTGTCTACGATATTAATTTTGTTGGTATCTACTCGGGAAATAGAGCATTGCCGGGCAAATAGATAGAACACGCCATTAGATCCTTGCATCTCCCGACTTCCTGATACTAAGCTTCCATTGTTAAATACAAGCCGAGGCAGGAATTCAGAGTCATACATATAATGGTGCGCCTTCTTTTTCTACGCTTGGCTTGCTAAATGGAGATGTATCGATCCCATCCGCGTTGGTATCGCCCCACCTATTTCATTCTGCATTCTACCTTACATTTTATGTATATAGGTTTACCTTTGTGGAACATGGGACGATTCGTATTAATGAACATACTTATCTTATGTGATCGAAACACTTGGAAATAATGGCTTGTACCTAATTTGCGTATAACTACAAAAGTAAGTTTTATAAAAGATGTTCAGCCAAATCTTTTGGATCGGTTTACTATGTAGAGATATGTTGCTGCTGAGACCATAGCTTTTGTCTTGAATATCTAAATTTGCCTAGGGTTTATAAGTCCGAAAGTTTGGAGAAGGACCTCACTGCTTAGCTTAGCTGCTCTCTCATTGCTGACACTGTTCTGGTCACCTTTATTAAAGAGGCAAAAGCACGTGCCAACTCTAGGTCGAAAGTTAAATGAATGGCATAACATGATTGTCTTGGAGTACTGCCACAGTTTAGGATTTAGGAGAGTAATTTCTGCACTCCGCTTTTGGCCTCTTGCACACCCTTTTTTTCTTTTTTCCTTTTAGCAATTGGATCGAATGAATGATAAGTGAATCAACAGACATAATTAAATAGAGAAGTGCAGAAAATCAAAAGGGTGTGTGGAGAAATGACTTCCCCTGGTTGTTTTTCATTTCCGGTTGGTAAATTCTGTACATGATATAGCAATACAGCAATGTGCTTGACAGCCAAAGAGCTGACTTGATCAATCAGTAACTTACTTTGGGAATATGTAGCACTTCTCACTTTTTCCTACTTTACCCTTCTATGCTATATACTGTGGGCGCTTTGTGCCTTTATACTCAAATTTAACTTTACATCTCTGACAAACATCATTTTCGAGCTCATCTTTCTCAGTCGTAATTTCTACTTGTATCGTTGGATATATAGGTTATAGTTCTCCAATCTGCTTTGTATTTTTTTTTTAACAAACGATATTATTTATATTAAGGAGGAGGGGGCTTACCAATTAATCAACATGCTGTTAGATTAAAGCTTTTATAAAAGTACATCACGTATGTTAATTTTGATCGGTCTTGACATACAAATGTCACGCTTAGTAAATAGGGTTGTGATTATGCTTAATTAGCAAGAAGTTGCGATTAGAGCTTAGATTCTTATAACTAATTTGATTTAATTTCAGCATTGGAGGGAAATTAAATGAGTTTGAGAAGAAATTATGAGGTGGGGTTGCTTTTATGTAGCTCTAGCTATGTATGCAAATGAAAATGTTGCTTTTAATTTCAGCAAACTCATCAGTTTTGCCTTGAATTGCCATAGGGTATTGAATGCAAAAGGGAATAGAATTGTCCAATCCCAAGGCTGAAATTTCCTTGATTGTTCGATTGTCAACCGCCATGTCTTGTTCTTCTTCCAGTTCCATTTCAGTTTCAACTTCAAATTCGGATTCGGAACTAGAACTAGGTGAATTGAATTCTGGCTGCTTCCTCTTCTTTTTCAAAGTTTGTTCAAAATCGTCGTCAAATTCTAATATATTGTCACGAACAGGTTGAGAACTTTGAGACATAAACTAGTGCCTAAAACAAAAGAAGACAAAACAAAATTAGAAACAAAAGAAAAGACACAAACAGCAACAAAGGAGAAGATTAGCAAATTTGCTAATCCCCGGCAACAACGCCAAAATTTGATGTGGTAGAACACAAATTAAACCCTATAAATTATGCAATTGTAGTACGAGTAAGTATGGATCGTTCTATTTCGGGGATTAGAAGGGATACTAACCAACACAAATTAAACTTAACAAACTGAAAACTAAGTTAAACTAACAACAAAACAATAATTGGGGGGACTTTGGACGAATTTAATTAAAACATAAGTAAATGGCAGCAAATAAATTAAGTTGTGAATGAAATATGGATGAAATGATAGCTAAAGGATTCTTCTCCACACATGAATCATATGCATACAAATCGATTTCTAGTTATTCTTCCTATAAACCAAGAATGACAATGCCGCAAATTAACTGCATACATCACTAATTAACTCTCAGATTTTCCTAAGTTCATTGAATTGGACACAGCGATGAAAGCAAATTATTCTTCTTAAGTTCCCTAACTATGAAAGGCATGATAGAGATACATCTCGAAGATTATTAAATTATGTGAAAATCATAAGCATTGACAAAACAATCGTAACTATGAAAAGCATGATACTCCTACCAATAATTTACTTAACTCAATCATGACTACTGACTTTTACCATTTACAAATATAAGTTCATAACGATTAGGTGAAATTTCCTTATATTCTAGTATCAAATCTTTGCATGCAAACTAAGTATGCATCCTTAATAAACATACAAGAATAAGTTTTCTATAAAGCAAATAAGTAAATCGCATTCATGTTTTATGAAACAATAATTGGATGTAATCAATTTATATAAAACATATGATCATGGCTTCGAATTCACCTCTAGCTAAAAAGAAACTTAGTTACACATGTTCATCATAACTGAAAAGAAATCTAAAATAAACATTGAAACTTAAAACAAAGAGAGAAAGAACTCTGAAAATTCCAGTAACTTCAATGGATGAATGGTAGGTGCGGCACACCTCTGAAACGTTGCAGGACACTTCATATATATATAGGGCACGGCTGAATCCAAGGAGGAAAGGGATTAGGCGTTTTGAATTATTTTAGGACTCTAAGAAATAGGTGGAGAGTGTTGGAATGTGATTAGGATTCTTCCTTGCAGCTGGAGATAAGATATGATAAGATAGTGTTTTTCTCCAGCTAGGATTCCTCTTTCTTGTGTAATTCCTTGTCTTCCAAGCCTCAACTTTAATTTCTCTATATTTTAGCACATGTGTAACGCCTTTTAAACACTAGAAATATCTAGCCCATATGCTATCCACGCATGTTATTCAATTCAAGTCCAAAATTGCTCCAAATTGCTCCATTTGACTATTTATTGTCATATTTACCAACTGGACCTCCAATAATATGAAAATAACTTAAATTACTATAATAAATGGAAATTAACTAAGTAAATGCAAAGAAATAAGATAACAAAGTCTTGTAAATATGCTCCTATCAGTTATAGTTCTCCAATCCATTCCAATTGGCCTTGTTTTTAATTTTTTTTTATTTTAACAAATGATATTATCTATATTAAGAGGGAGGGAACTTACAAATTAATTAACATGCCATTAGATTAAAGTTTTTATAAAAGTACATCACGTATGTTAATTTTGGTTGGTCTTGACATACAAATGTCGCGCTTAGTAAATAGGGTTGTGATTATGCTTAATTAGCAACAAGTTGCGATTAGAGCTTAGATTCTTATAACTAATTTGATTTAATTTCAGCATTGGAGGGAAACTAAATGAGTTTGAGAGGAAATTATGAGGTGGGGTTGCTTTTATGTAGCTCTAGGTATGTATGCGTATGAAAATGTTTTTACGCTTCCTCTGGATTGGAGAAAGGATACAGAAAGAAAGTGGAAAAGGTTAAAAGGTTAAAAGGGAAAGAAAGAAAAGAAAGAAAGCGAGAAAGGTGATTCCTTATTTGTTCTACATGTTCGGTTCATCGGTTGAGTAACCAAAAAGAAGGATCTGCTTTCCTTGCCAATTTCCTTTACCCTCTTTCTGGAACCCAACCCAATGGATTTGAATAATATTGTAACGTTGGTGCCAATTGTTTTGAATACTTGTAGTAGTAGGAGCCTACACTTTTTACTTTATACTTTTGCACATTATATATGGATGTTGATGGTCCTCCTGTGCAAGGAAGAGGGCCTAGTGTTTGGTTGTAATATGTGACATATTTTTTAGGGTGATGTGTCGATTTAGTTTTTGAACTATCACTTTAGTAAAAATTGGGTCTCTGAATTATTTTTTTAGTAAAATAAGTCCCTAAATTAATTAAAAATTACTAATTTCATTCATACCATTATATTCAAAACTATTTTATTCATTTTATCGTTAACTTAAGTAACTTGACACACTTTAGAGTGTAATACCGTCATTTTCTCACCTATAAGCCCTTAACACTTCATATAGTTTGCAAACCTAACGTCTAATTTACTCTCCAAAGTTAACTCTACACACTATTTCTTTATGGAAAATTACCAATCTACTCACCAATGTGTATCACATGTAAGTAACGTGATTTACATTGATAGAAAATTAATATAGTACCTTCAAATCTAATATTAGGGATGTAATTGGCAGATTTTGATAATCCAATGACTGATTTTTCTATAATAAAAAAATAGCTTAAAGACCTAATTTTCATTCAGATGATAATTTATGGACTAAATTAACAGTTCACCCTATTTTTTAATACCATGTTCATTTATTGTTTTTCACATAAGAATACGGGAAAGAGGTTCGAACTCAACTCCGTCTTGGATACATGTGGGAAAGGTCGAGATTGAACTCGGGTTTGATTGTAAGGCTAAATGCTCGTTTTCATTGGAGCTACACAGTATAAACCCTAACAACAGGCAATAGCAGAGCCCTAACTTTAAATAGGAGAATATCCACCACCTTCGAATACATGATACGGCAACCAGCTAGCACTAACTAACTAGTTTAGTTTGGGGGTTCAAATACAGCTGTGAACAAGCAAAGCCAGAAGAAACAGTAAACATCATGCAGCCGCTCGACACCAAAACCAAAACAAAATAAAGCTTCCATGATGGCTACCTCATAGCAACCCAACTAGTTTCACCAAATACCCAAAACTGCTTTTCTACTACTTTTTCAAGTGCCTTGTTTAGGTAACTTAAACTAGAGAAGTGATTTTTTTTGTTAAGATTTTAGAGTCGGATTTGCGGATCAGTACTAAAAACAATCTAGACAACCTAAAAGACATTGGATTTTATGTCAAAAGGCTTCAGTGCTATTTGTAATGCAAATATTCAATTATATGTAGTAATATATCAAGTCAAGTTTTCGATGTGGGATTGCATTCTTCAACAATTTTCACTCCCCCTTTTGTCCTCCTGCACTCTTCTGCTTTTTTCTGTTCCTTGTCCCAGTGTTGATTAACAGGGAGGGTAGTGCAAAGGAATATATAAAAAAAATAATAACTGTCTTTGGGCTGCCATTGTTTGAGCAATGGCAGACAGGGTTGAAGTACTCTAAGGAGCGTAGAAATCCTCTCTTGTAAAATTGCCGTGTCTATTTCAGCTAGCTACGCTGCTCCACTTGGCCCATTATGTATATAAAATCTCAAACGTCCTCACTTGTCCTACTTGATTTTGGTTGGTTTTGGACTGTGTTCGTAATCTAAGCCCACCAACTCATTTAAAAAACCACATTAACTTAATTAATTTAGGTTGGTTTTGGCTTTGTGCGTTGTGTTCAACTTTAAGCACACCAACTAAAATGATAACCACATTCTATATTTGACCAAAAAACCACATTGTATTGATAAAAGACCCCCTTTTTTGTTTAATTTTTATACGAGCAATACTAGAGGTGAGCATAATTTAACATATGTGGCTTGGATACTAAGAAAATGTTTTTAACCATTTGAACTACAAGACCTTTTCCGAGTACGAAAGATGGCAGGATGAAATCAAACCCCCCCTCTAATTCCTGATAATTCCCATATAAAAGGAAAACAAAAACAAAAAATACAACATTGAAAAAAAGAAGAGGGGAGACTTGGAAGCTAGCTAGCTAGGAGACTAATTAACTGATCAAGAGAAGATGCTTGCAAGTTATGGTACTACATGATAGAACAGGCATTAGGGTTGTCATCACTGAACATGGTGGTGTAAGGGTCTTCATATTTTGTGACAGTCCCAGTGGAGGAGGGATTGTTGTCCACATTTCTGACATAACCAGGAGGTGCCTTCTTGTCATAAGCCTGGGCAATGTAGGGCTGTGCCACTAAGTTGTAGGGCACATAAGGCCATATCTCTGCCCTCTTCCCTGTTGACTTTGCCTTCTTCAGCACTTTGTTTGGTTCAACATACCCAGTCACACTCACCTTCTGTTGCTTTCTGTTTATCTCCACAGATTTAACTCCTGCTCAACATGCAACATACAACATTTTTTATCAGCCCAAAGTTTGCAATTTTCGACTTACCCCAAAGTTTGATGACATTTGTAATTTGTGACATAAACTAGGAAAACAGATAGGCAGAAAAAGAACATACCAGTTAAGGAAGAGAGGGCATTCTTGACCTTAAGCTCACAGCCATCACAGTCCATCCTGACTTTGAGCTCCACTGTCTGTAATTGCTTCTTCTTTTTGTGTTTGTGGCCACTGTTGTTCACCAGATCAGACAAGTACTCCAATGTTCCTCCAACTCCCATTTTTTGCAGCTTTTTTTAAGGTCAAAAGTTCTCAGTTGATGCCCTTCAACAAACCCTTGCAATTTATATGGAGAATTTAGGTCCCTTGAGAAACTGCAAGGAAGGAAGGAGCTTCCCTTCCTTGCTGTTGCTGCTGGTGAACAATTTTATTAAATGGATTCTTTCCTTGCCTTACAACACTCAAAGTCTCTCATTTACTTCCTATGACATCTTTCTTTCTCGCAGCCCCTACTTCCTTCTTATATAGCCTTTTCTTTTTTCTGTCTTTTTAAAAATAAAATTATTCAAATTCAAACAGAGGAAAGATCGTGGGTCACCCCAAACAGCAGGAAACAACAATTCTAAGAACCTTCAAATATTTTTCTGTTTCTAGAGGTTGAATTGATTGAATTAAAAATTAAGAAAACTAATGAAAAGGGCTTGAAAACTTTGAGTTTTAACGATAAAGACAAAATAAAGGGTAAAGTAAATAGTACCAAGTTTGACATTTTAGTGTAAAAATATGGTTTTTCATTAAAGTGAACAGTACCACGGGCTTTTCGTTAAAACTTGCTTAAAAATTTGATGTATAGGTTCTTCACATCTTCATTCTTAAATAGAGAAACCATTATTCTTTATGTGGAGGAAATGACATATGCATACATAAGTTGAAGACATTTTCCTCTTTATAAAGCACATTTTAAGTGGTTAAACGGTCTTTTCCACAATACCACAAGTAGAAAAAGCTCTTTAACCACTTGCTCCAATAACAAGTAAAACAACATCATAAATTTACTTTTAGGAGAAGGGTCTCAATGTATCTTAGATTTGATATAATCACAGCGAGAAACTACGGTGGCGACAATGAACCTTCCTCTTGGCACTGGTGCCTCTCCAAATAATGTCGAAATTATGTTTATATATAGATTGCAGATGTTAGTTGAAGCTATGTTCTCTTCTATCATGATTCAGTCTGATTCTCAAAGCTTTTTCAAAAATTTGCAATCACAAGAGGATAGTTGGATGCAGATCAGTCGAGTTTGTTTTAGTGAAATCATATTCCTATACATTGTAATTATGTAGCTCACTAGTTAGCAAAAACATGCTCTTTCATGTCAAAATTGTTTTGTGTGGTGTAGCTCAAAATTTTACTAAATGGATGTTTGTTTTTTCCGCTCTCTCCTCATTCATGACTTTTCAATTTTAAGTAAATATACCATAAGTTTAAGTTAAAGTTTTGTATCCGATGAAGAAGTAGTGACAATGTAAATCTACAATTGAAAATATATTGGACCGTATTGTAAATATCTCAAGATACAGGGATTTGTGTGCAAAAAAATGTCTGAATTAAAGCTACATATCCTAAGCAAACGCTTGAAAGCAATGTTCGTTCAAAGCATATGATAGAATATTAAATTGTTAATAACAAATTTAACAATTTAATAATTTGATATGAAAGTGAAAGCAGCTTCCACGTTCGGAGAGAACACCACCAAACGCCAGCTAAAGTAAAAATACAGGTGTCTGTGGAGACACGTGGCGAGAATCAAACGGTGGAGAGGGTGTGAGTGGCCCCACCGGGAGCTGGCTGCCTCTAAATGTGGAGAGGGTATTCGCTTAGGCGTTTTTTTTTCTTCAAGATTCGTTTAGGCGTTTGATTGGGTTTTGTTTGGGGTTTAATTGGTCAAACAGGAGCGCATCAGAAGGAGAGAGATGTTCGTATAACGTGTCCAGAACTTCATGGTACAAATATGTGACATCTCGTATGAAGAAGTATAGATGAAGGAGGCAGATTGTCTACCCTCCTGTTTGAATGTCATTCTTATCTTCTCTTATTTTGTGCGGTCACGGTTAAGTCACGTCAACATTTTATATTAATTTTTATATAAAGATAATAAAGCAAAAAACAATAAGAATATAAAATCTTGACGTAGCTTAACTGTAACCGCACAAATAGAAGAAGATGGGAAGGGCACCCAAACAGGAGGGGCAAATAGGAGGGGATGAGAAAGACCAAACAGGAGGGGCAAATATGAGGGGATGGGAAAGGCACCCAAACAGGAGGGCAGACAATTTGCCTCCATAGATGAATCCGGTGCAAATAATGCCATGACATGCAGAGAAAAATTTATACATATATTTCTATTAAGGTAGAGACTGTAATTGTCATATGAACTAAAATATTAAACAATTTGTCATACTAGCATTTCAAAATCATTAATTTATCATCTCACCTTAACTTTATAAAGTTTTCCTTCTAAAATAAGTCATGTGCAAATGACTTGTGTTCAAAGTTATTTTCGACATTTCATAAAGAATATCATCCAACTTTATCATAAATTGAAGGGCTCCCCAGTAATTTTGTCATCTTCGCTTTGGAACACACAAAAGAGAATGCAAGTCAGTACCTTTTTCTGAACGACAAACCCTCAGATCCTCTTATACCAGATCAACCTCCTTTTTATATTTTTTGAGAAACCCTAGAATTATTTTTATCGAAAGCAATATATTAGAAGAGTGAGATGTTGAAATGTCTGAAATAACTCTAAACATAAGTTATTTTGGATGAAAAACTTAACGGAATTAAGGTGAAATAACAAATTAATGATTTCGAAAAGTTGGTTTGACGAATCGTATAAGATTTTAGTTTATATGATAAATTGAAAAGGAATATAAGTTCATATGATATTTAAAAAAAAAATCCTAATATTGTATTATTGACATAAGAGGATACAGTAAGAAAAAAGGAATACATCATGAGTAGCGTACTTTTGAGTAACCTAAGGACATAATGTAACTTAGGCACGCACCTCCAAAGCGTTTAGGAATTGCAAGCAATTCACATCGGGCAATAATTTTGTTCTAATAAAAGTAGTTCTTGTTGCGATTTATGTTTATTTATGAATGTGGTTGTGTAAATTTAAAGTAGCTATCTTAATGGGGTTTGAAGATAATAAAATCTATCATGATTAGTATAAATAAAAGCATAAGGCAAGGAGGTGAAACACAACTCCCACAAACACCGGAGTCATTATTTTCTCTCTTTCTCCCATCTCTCTCTCTCTCTCTCACCCTCTTGTATAAGGACAAGGATTGTTTGCCCTCCCATGTCCTCCTGTTTTGTGTGGTCACTGATGAGTAGATTTTATATTATATATTTTACCCTAATCTTAGTATATTTTGGTTAATATTGTGGAAGAATTTTGATACTTTGAATTGTATTTTCAATATAGAACTTTCGACTTCCTCTGGAGCAAAACAGGAACAAATGGATGAATTTTGGAGTAATTCCAGTTGGAGGACGTTCGTGAGTCAATTATCTTGATCTTGTCAAAATTTGGGATTTTTCCACTAAGCAGTTATTTTTTGGCGATAAAATAAAGGAGCGATGCGCAGTGCTGGAAAATGACATTTTTGGGCTTAAATTGCGTTTTTGGAGCCCAGGATGACCTCAGATGGGTTCGTGGCCTTCTGGAGAAGTGTTCAGAATATTCCAAACATTAATTCCAGCTATATTGGGCTAGTTTTAGAGTAGCTTATGGGTCCAAAACGTGGCTGTTCATATTTTAGGTGAATTTTACCATTTAATTTAGGGTTATGTTTCCTATTTTATTGGATTATTAATTTTAGTTTCCTAGGGGGAATAAAGGACCTGTTTTTAGGGTTTGTGTGGGGGCTTGGCAGATTTATTGCTTGGCCATCTACCATATTTAGACACGCTTTATTTTATGCAATTTTGGGAGACAGAGAGAAGTGCTAGGGTTTTGGAGAGTTTCTACTTGAAGGTGTTTTCAATCCTTTTCTTAATAATATTTTCTATGATTTCAATTATGAATATGCATAACTAATTCCTATTGCTAGGGCGAAGCCTTGAGCCTTAGCATGAATATGTGATTTTTATTTAATTGTTTATGATTGATTGCATGCATACTTTGAATTGTTAATCACCGGGATAAAAACTATCTAATTGTTTTAATGCTTGATCACCATTAGGATCTTTAGAAAAGTAATTTGATGCAATTTTGGTCGGAAGGTTCTCTGAAATTGATGTTGGCTTCTTGTGATTAATAATTGTAATTTCACTTAGGATGAATACCACGCCTTAAGGATTGCATGACTTTTCAAAGGATTTTCATAAAGCATAATGAGTCTTTCATGTTCAAATTTGATTCGAACGTCTGAACGGGTTGCATGTTAGATATACGTTCTATGTTGGAGGTTCCAAGTAGAATATGAATTGGTAAAAGTTTATAGGATTGCTAGGTGATGGTGGAGCCCTAGTGTTTTCTTAATTTGATTCTTCCAAAACTGTTTTCTTTTTCCCCCCGTTCTAAAATTGCAGATTGTTTATTTTAATTAATTAATTTCGTTTTTATTTTAAATAGGTTATAAAATCAATCACCTCAATTTCTACTTTACAATAATTAATTGAAATTTGGTTTGTTTCGAATTATTTAATAATCTATGTGGAGAATGACCTTACGAGATCCGTTTATACTACATTGTGATTCTAGAAAGTATAATAGGAGTTTTTAGCCCGTTCACATGAGTAGTAAAACCCCTATCAGTCACGGTTAAATCACGTCAATATTTTATATTATTTTTTTATAGAGATAATAAGACAAAAAGAATAGTAATATAAAATGTTGACGTGGCTTAACCGTGACCACACAAACAGGAGAGCACGGGAGGGCACTGGAAGTGGGAGGGTAGACAATCATTGTCCCTTGTATAATTAGTTTCAACAGTTCTATCATATTTTAGTACTAGATATGTTTATAGGAAAACCCACTATTTTATGGAACATTCTCATACACCATAATATGACAAGTCAACATGATAATGCGCTTAAATATACAAATAGAAACCTCCAAAAATAGAGAACAAATTATGTGAGAATGATTTATCATCACGTGACATTTCGATGCAATAATGTTATTTTATGTGGTGACAAACTAACACAAGACATTGTTTTATTGTAAAAATAAGCCACATTGTATACTGTTAAAATACACTTCAAATAAAAGTTTGCTTTTCGTTTCAATAGCAACCTTAACAAATATCGTTTGGATAGCTTGTTTGATAATCATTTCAAGTTCAGTTTTAAGTTTTAAATTTGTAGTTGTTTTGTAACTACTTTCAGTTTTCAAAAACCAAAAATTGAAAGCCAAATTTTAAGAACTAAAAAAGGAACTCTATTTTTGGTTTGAAAAATGATAGTTACCAGATAAATTTTTAGTTTTC